ACTGGCATGCACACAGGAATTATTCTTAAACCCAACTCTTTTAAATACTTTTGATATTCAATGTCTTTGTGATAATGATGTGTTACACCAAAAACATTGAATCACACTGATTCTAACATTTCAATCTTGTTGATATCAAAAGCAGGACATCTTACAAAAATATGAATTACCTGATAAACTCTGGAATAAACTTTGGCTGTTGTGATATAAAAAAATAGTATTTGGATTAGAAAATATTATCATTTGAAGCAAGCACATGGAAAGGAATAAAACAATTATTCTAATATTATTAGCCAAATGATTCTACAGTACAATTTTTTCATTGTAATATTTACCTCTTAGGAGGCAAAAGGATAAGGTTTATTGGCTAAACCCATTTTTCTGCACTAATTTCTATGAGGTTCAAGGCATTACCAAAAAAACTGATGTTAAAACCCCCGAGAAGCATTTGATAAATAGCAGAAGTAGCATTTCAGTCTGCAAATCAGTTTACACATGGGGTGTATAAAACAAACAGACTACATGACTGATGCGTGATGCAAACGACTTCATTAACGCTAAAAGCCATGCAAGAGAGAAACCTCTGCTTGCAGGGTATTTTATTCTTCACATTTTGATTTGAATATTTTACTTTGCAACTGAAAATTTACCAGGACTTTCAAGAAACGAGCCCCAGATTTTGAATTTGACTCAAAGTAAGCAAAATTAAGGTTGGTGTCTTGTCTCAGTTTAAATCCAATAACTCAACTGAACTAGGTAAACTTACATGATGAGATAAATCTGCATCCATGATTATGATAAAGTTTCCTCTGGCATGTTGCATCCCATGTATATAGGCAGTACCTGCAAATGAATTAACCTGACTTTAAAATCGGCAGCATCAACCAATTTAAGATATACATGGGTGCCCTTTGTTTACAACACAAAGCAAATAATACAAAAAGACAGTTTTTTCAAGTGAAATGACATGCTGTTGTTTTATTTTGTTACCTAATAACAGCCAGGGCAGATGTTCTAGCTTATTCTTTAATATTTGGGATAATAATTCTAGCAACACAGTTTCATTTTTAGCAACATATTTACCCTGAGAAAACATACAACATTTTGTGATGCCATCTTTGGTTTCTCAACAAAATGACGTCTGAGAAACAAGCAGAGAAATTCCATACTGATGATGTGTCACAACCCAGATCTGGGGAGTTATTCTGATTGGTTGGAAATTTGCTTCATCCAATCAGAAACACAACCAAGATCTGGGTAGTGTTTCACAGTGATTATTTAGTGGGAAAACTACAACATATGCTGCTTAGGAACTATGGTGCTTTTAAAACCAGCATATTGATTGTCTAGTGGAACTTCACAGACACTTTTTTAAACAGATAACCACCAATTGCCATGTATACGATTGTCAAGAGGTGGTGCTTCATTGGCCATGACATGTAAATGCAATCCACAATTAATAAGCTGATAAACTTGATGACTGCATACACTGTAACTTACCTAAACCTAGCTTGCTTGGCCTTGGTCTAAGTCTCTGAAAAAAAAAATGGTTTTGCGAATTGTTAATGCTTTATCCGTGAAAATCCTAGTTCTTAGTGACGACCAAAATGTAGACTAGAGGAGTCAGGAGTTAATGGGCAGAAAAAATAATAAAAAGGGCGTAAATCGGACGATATCAGCGATCGAATTAAAACTACTTACAATGATATCAGTTCCATAAATATCCTCTAGCTGTTTCGCTGCCTCCTGTGTACCATCTGGACTTCCATCGTCAATAATTATTATTTCAAAATCATACCCACTAAAACAACAACAAAATGGAAGGATCTTCAACGAACAGCTCTAGAACAAGGAATTCAGCAAACTCAAGTGTTACAACAGAAAGAGACGTTTCTTACCACTCGGAGAAAGCTTTTACAATCAACCATACGATCAAGGGAAGGTTTTCTCGTTCATTGTAAGTTGGCAACAAAATAGAGTATTTGTCTTTCTTGTCCGCCATGTTGAATTTTGACGTGGCAAGCAAAGCCGCTGTCCAGATGTCAAAAGATCGCCGTCGAAAAATACCTACATGCCAACAACTGTTTCAGTGAGAAGCAAATGATGCCTAGATTTTTCTATTTCTTGAGGATGGCTAAAAATTTCTAGAGGACCGTTCCATTCATGTACAATTTCCGAAGCTTATCTAATAAATTCCCTACGATTTTCTGAAGTTAAATTTTTCACATTTAACTGTCCAGATAAGGCTACTTTTCGTACCAAAAAAAAACTAAAACTTCGGATTCAAAAATGTGATGCGGAGCAATAAGAAAAATTCTCACTTTCTTAATACGTTAAATTGCATCTAAAATTTTCGGGAAAATAATGCTGAAGCCCTTATAATTTCGAAAATACTCAAGTGCCCCTAGGATGACCGAACAGATACAAATTTTATAGCGCCGATTAGAATGCATTTCTAGAGATCTTAACGTACTACGGATGGCCTAAAAAGTATTTTCTGTGAATCAAGGAGGAAACCGTCGTTGGGTGCCCCTGATAAGCGTGGTATACACTCTTTTTTTTAATAAGAATATATTTTATAAGAATATCAAGGTTGAAGAGATTTGCCAAATTTTAAGAATATCTTAAGAATAAATCAAATAAAACTAAGGAATGAAAGAAAAACTTGATCAGCTGAGTTTAATCCATCCTCGGAGACCCAGGGGCAGTTAGTCGGGTCGTAAAATGTTCGTGGTGAAAGTTTAACTGTAAGATCGAGACGATCACGAGCTCGTCTCGATCTTACGGTAAACTCACCGGCTTTCACCACGAACATTCTATCGACCCGACTAACTGTCCCATGGGTCTCCGAGGATGAGTTTAATCAAGAAAAAGAAAAAAGTATAAAATTTTTAAATAACAACGCTGACCGATGCGGTAACTTACATGATCCAGCTATGATCTCGGTAATTACCGACGTTCATACCGCCCTGAGCGCTAGTAAAAAGAGGATCATTAATTTATAACACGCAGAGTCTATGATCATGATTTGAAGAAAATTAAAGACCTCTAGCAGCCAATGCGTGAGAGCCTTATATTGAAACTAAAAGGTTCACAGACCGAGTAAATTTTTTTCAATAGCGCCACCTTACCTCAGCTTCTAGTCTCCTTGGCAGACATTTTCAGGGCTTCGTCCTACGTTCCTCTCTCCGAGGAAGGAATTGACGCGTGACGATTCTCTAAGATTTGGATCCGAAACTATTAAATGATTTCTGACTCCAGCTTTATCTTGAGCAGCATTGCTGCCCGTTTTTAATACCATTAAATTTGGGTATCTAATTATTTCTTTATTAAACTTTGCTCCTGGCTAATATGAGCTTCCATCTAGCAAACTGATAGTATATTTTATCTGCATTCATTCAAAGCCGAGCGCCTTAGGAGAAAACTCATTTTGCACGTGTCAGTACACAGGAGGGAGTTTTCAAGTTCGCTCAATTTGCCCCGGGAGCTTGCTCCCAAATATTTAACCGGTCAAATATCGTGGAGCATTTTGCGGGATGGAAATTCTGCTCCCGAGGATGAAGTATACCACGAAATCGTTGGTACACACGGAGGAGCTTTGCTCCCGGAGCGTGCCCCTGGAGCATGCTCCGGGAGCAAAATCCCTCGTGTGTATCGACCTTAACGCAATCTTGCGTGCACACCCGGTAAACAACTGTGGGGTCTGACCGCCGTGAATGCTAGAGCTATGAAAAGTACTAATCACTCATTGTTCGTAGTATATTTTGGCAGCGCTTTAGCGTGGAAGGCTAAAAGAATATAGAAAACTGGTTTTTCAGGGTAGCCGCGGCTAGTTTACGTCAGGTGGGCAATTTTCAAAGTCAATAACAATAACAACGTACTTTTTTCGTGTAATATAGGAAATAAACATGTTTATTGAGCTCAAAAAATTAAAGTCTCAAACTGACGTGATTTACGTGTTGCGGTGTCTTTGTTCACTTCAACCAAGTCTTGTAGTCTGAGTACCAAGGTGAGAGTGGTCAACCACCAAGGTAACCGTCAACATTTTTCATGAGAAAAAGACGTTCTACTCGCCGTCTCAGGGCTAAAGAAATTCGGTTCCACTGTATTAACCGTGAGCTTGAAAACACTAAGCGGTAAAGATGACTCAACAGCGAGATAATTTTGGCCTTTGAAAAGTTAGTTTCAAATCAAAAAGAAAGATACGTCCTGGGACTTGGCAATTCGTCTCATATATTGAGTCGACGTACAAAAAAAAAATCATGAGTGCACGGCATCCGTAGTAAACCTTTTTTTCTTTTTTCAAGCAGATTACCTCTTGACTCCTACTGAAAGCCAACCAAGGGTTTTTAGTGTTGGTTAGGGTAATGCACGTTTTAGAGATTTTCCGTTTCATGCTTAAATTCTGTGCTGACACCTCGTTTTCACATGTTTTTCAGCTCTAAATCAGTTCAGAAAGTGAAACTTGGAACGTGAAACTTTCAGACTTCACCCAGTTCCGGGCGCATGCAGCCACACTGACCATGAGGAAGTTTCACCAATTTTGAAGCGCTCTCCATGCCAGTCAGTGCACTGTAGCCTGCGAGCATTAAGCTCTCCTGGATGTTATTCACTACATCAGTTCAATATGAATTTGATAAATATACGATAATATTCTAACTCAATTTACTCCCACATATTGTGATGCCTTATACAGATCTAGAGAAGAGGTGAAATAACTTCCAACCCGCGGCCCCCAATTAACTCTCATACGAGAATTTATTATCACACTCATTTTTCAAAGTAGCCTGCGAAAACTGCCGTCTCGAGCTGCCCCTTCGCCCCTCCTGGCGAAACGTTCCAAACGGCTGTTTTTGCAGGCTATTTTCAATTTTAATTTGGCGAAACGACTTGAAGCGAAACAACCATACAGACTCCACAGAAACAGTAGTTCATGTCTCAAGAACACGAAATAATAAAGACCAATAATTAAAACAAGAGTCAAAATATAGTTTTTAGTCGTCAGACTTCCGCTTTCATACTCTGTGAATATATCATATATTTTAACTTGAATACTGAAAGCGCTCTTTGTTGATATGGTTAACTACACTTCTAATAAACTATGTGCTCTATTTTGCAAACACCTTAACCTATATAGACAATACATTTCTCATTTTCTATCTGACTGAATGCGACAAAGTCGAAAACGTCACGTTTTTGTCAGAGTTTTCTGTAGCTTCTCTTCCATCTTATGTCGAACTGAAACATTTTCCACTGAACGTCAACAAGAAAGTAAAAGTTTGCCGATCTGACGTAAGCTGAACATCAAGGTACAATATTGTCAACCAGATATTGGATAAAGACAGAAACGCCCTTAAAGTATGTAAACTGCAAGATACTTATAATATTAGTTACTCAATTCCTACATAAACTAAAAATTTACGAGCAAATTTTTTTCTGTCCCGCTTTTACTCCAGTTTTCATTTGAGGAATCTCGTAGTTTTCTGCCATAGTATGCAGAAATGCGTCATGAGTTTCTTCGAATAAACCCGATTTCTCGCTCGAACTTCGCTGAAGAATACCACAAAACGCTGCATTGCTACCAGATGTTTTTAGCTTTCCATTTAGTTCTCGCGACGATGCCGCAAACAATACAAGCTCAAAATACTCTCCCTCATTAGCTCCATCGGCTAAAATTCCTTTGATAATAGTTCGCCCTTCTCTTGTAAGTATCTGTCCTTGAAAAGGCTCGGTAACTCTGTTACCCATATGTTGAAAAATCTTGCACCTACTTGATCCCAGAAAAGGAATTTTGCCTCGCCGCGTGTCTATAATCCAGTACCTTGTGGACGAAGGCGGCTGGGATTCACATGGCACAAGGAGAATCTTAATCGGGGCCTGGCTTTGCAAGTCCAGACATGCTCCCATTGTTGTATTCAAATCACTGGTGGAGTCCTTTGTGTTTCCTTGCTTTCTTGCAGTTCTATGTTTTTGACAACTGGTATCAGCTATCGCCCGGAAAAAGCTTTTCATAATGGCACCTGTTGTCAGACAGCGATTTTTTCACGCGGTAAGTGCTAGCGACCTGACGCTGATCCACATTAACTTAAACTTTCCTGTTAAAAAGTAAAACGAACTGGATTATATACTGCTTGAGCTAAAATATTTCAATTTCGATTACTTTCAGGAAAAGTATAAGATTGAAATCTGCCTTTTAAGACATTTTCGCTCTTGGCAAGTTGACGAGAAACCCTTAGACATTGCGTGGTAAAATAAATTGTCCGTGAATCCTCTCCACTTTAATCAATTTTTCAAAAATGATATTGGTTTTGCATGCAAGCAACTTTAATGCTTTTGAGTTAACTCATTAACGCTTTCGCATAAAAATGACAACTATTTTTCATGGCGATTACAAGTAGTTGATTTATTAAAGATTTTGCAGCGCTTCGTAAAAGACAGGAAATATACCGTGTGTATTAATTATTTGTTGATTGGAAATAAACTTCGAAGAGAGCTCTCGAGGCAGAGATACCCTCCGTGAAGAAAATTAAAGTATAGTAGATTATAGATTATACATAGTACTGGAGTCAGAATGGCGGGTGTGCTGTAGGTTTCAAAAATACTGAGTATTTAAATTTTAGCGTCTTAATTGCTGTTCCATAAATTTTAATTTGTCAATCGACTAGTTGACTGGACGGAAGTTTGTCAGTTCAGTTTAGAAAAGATTTTCCTTTCAAGCAACTGTGAGCAAAGCAATAAACTATTAAGTTCAAAACATTGAACCTACCCCCTTGATGTATATCAGTTCCTTTGGCCGATTAAGTGTTGTTGCGACCGCCTTTGGAAAGCCATTATTCTCAGACAAGCCTTCCAGCAACACTGAAAGCGTCAGCGTAGTTACGAATTTGAATATGTGCACGTCAACTTTCAACATCTGCTCATATTTCGGCCTCTCATGAAGTAGTTTTAATGCAAATGAACCTCTGAAGAGAGGCCGGAACCGAGTGATTTGCTAAAGACAATTGGTTTATTTGTCAAGTGCAAATGCATTCGGCTGATTCGGCGCGTGTCTCGACGGAAATTCGCTTTTATCTTCTTAGCAGATATGCTATTCATCATAAAGACAACTTAGGCAGCAATTAAAAACGAAACTCTATCTTTTCCGGCTAAAATATACTCTTTAGTTTCATTAAAATTCTAAATGGCCTCGGCATCTGACAGTTTACTATAACCGAAAGTTAATTGGTAAATAATTTTCTCTTTTTTTGCACCCTGGGATCGCCAGCGGTTCCTCTGTGTTTTTCCCTTCAGTTATAGAGAGTGAGCTCATCTTGTTTTACAAAATTTTCCAATAAAAACATAAATGCAAAATATTTTAAAAAACTATAAGGAAAACCAAGCGTCGTTCACCTCGACCTGTCAGTGGTGGATTTAAGACAAATACAATTTGGCTCGGACCAGCTATAAATTTGTTACTGTCACCTGCGACGAATTTGGATCTATTTTTTTAAAGGAAATATAACATTTATTTCAGTGGGAATTTCAAAATAGTTAATATCGACCCCTTGTGAATTTACAGGGCTTATGACAGTTTCGAAATACATTGTTTTTGAAATACTAGAGATCTTTAAAATGAATTATAACAGCCCAAGTTCAGTTGGAAGTTTTAAAGATTTAAAGGGTTAATTCCTGCCCGGTTTTTTTAAAAAATTGTTGACTTCACGTACTGGGTAAGCATTTTTTCCAAAGTTTTCAATTTTTGAAATGGGGCCTAAGCTAAAATCTCAGTACACGGCCAAAGTAGGGAAACGACCATGGGATAATAACATTTCCTGCCAAACTCCGGATAAAAAATAAAAGTAAGATCATTTAAGTAATAGCACAAACGCCAGTTCTTGCGTCACGTCCTTCTGGCCCCGGTTGATCAAACGTTGGATGGCCCTAACGACCGCATAGATCAATCACTGTCCAGAGGATAAATATTAGCTAGGGCAGCCAAGTGCCTTATCCAGTGGATAGCGTTCTCCACCCTTTGATAACTGCGGCCTGGTAGAAAATCGAAAAAAAATTGCTGGCGGCTTGTGTTGTCACAGCGCATTGTTTTGTCCACTTCCTGTCTACTCTTTCCCCTAAGTCTATCTAACGTACCCCTCCGCTCAGTTTGTAGTTGAATTGCTGGTCTGTGTGTGGGTGGTCTTAACTGAAGACGAACATCATACTCTGGTACAGAAAGCCGGCGATAAATGAGGAGTCCATAATAGTAAAAATGTCTTCTTTAAACTCAAATAAATGTTTTTAGTCAAACTCACAAGGGAGATAAATTGACGTGAAAACTCACCAGAGGATCGATAATTCTGGTGACCACATTTCACCGAATAATAAATGTAATATGTGATGTACATCCTATCAAAAGCTTTAAGGAACAACACAATTTTATTCCTTTGCATGAAGAACTCTTGTTTTCGTTCGGTATTTCAAAGAGTTTAAAAAGTGGTCATTTCCCGCCTCTTAAGAAAGTCATCGGTTGCATTCTCTAGACTTTTTTCGTCACTCGCCGCCCAGATAAATAAAGCACTGACCCGCCCTCGAATGACTAAGCATCAAAATTTCAGGAGGCTTAAAAAATTAAACGCCTATATAGACGTAGAAATTGTGAGATCTTGTACCTGTAATGTTATTGTTTGTGTTAAGACAGTTACGTGTAAGCGTATATTTAGAGGAAGAAAAATGTAAATTAGTTAATAATCCACAGACTCCAAAACTAAAAAGTGATTACCCAGTGTCTGAAAAACACAATTAACACGCGTAACGTCCAGTATACAGTATACCACAGAAAACAGCGCCGGGCTAATCCGTAAAGGGAAGCTGATATTCGTGTGGAGTGCTTGTTTGTGTTTCTTTGTTTATGACTGACTAAGAGCTTTCTTTACGTCGTTGGTCGAATATTTCAGGGCGGCTTTTTTTACAAATACTAGGCCGGCACAGGTTTTTAATGTTCCGAATTCCAGTACAGCGTTTGAATATTAAGATCGTGGAAAGGCAATTATGATGATTGATCTATTTGTAAACTACAGAGTTTGTACTTATATCTGATCAAAGTAAACTTCCTCTTAGTCAAAGCTCTGAGAAAAAAAGCAGCAGCAACAACAACTATATATATTGTACACATGCGGCAGGCGATACTCACCAACGTACAGCATATTTAGAGACGAAAACGGCGGTTTTTCATACATCGCGAAATATCTTGTGGAATTAAAGTTATGGCTACATATTTTTGAATAACCATACAAGCAAGCAATGTTAACCTCTGGAAACGTGACTTTTACACGGTGTCCCTTTTTAGCCAGCAGCATGTATTTTTTTGGAGATCACGCGAAGGGCCTTCTCGGGGGTGGGGGGGGGGGGGGATAAAAGCCATACTGGGTATGTGCCGCCCCACCGGGGAGGGTTTTTGCGCCGTAAGGGTTTGAAAACGGGTTTAACCTTTGCCCTGATTTTGGGCGGGAATCGGACTTGTTTTTGGGGGGAACTCCGGGGGTACT